AATAGCTACTTCCCTATAGGGAAATTCGCTAAAAGTGAATATTTCTACAGAAGCAGAGCAAGTCATCAGTTTCCTCGAGCTCAAGCAAATGCAGTAGCTACTTAATCACATAGTTTTGTGATTTTTTTTATTATATTCTGTTCGTGTTCTGTTTATTTAACTTATCACCAAAATTTGTGTTACCCTTTACCATAGACTTCTTAATTGTTCCTTATTGATAAGAAAATGTTTCTTTTGGCGGGCTGCGTCAAGTGTCAAAGGTGTAAGCAGGCACCAAACACAAAAGTAGGGAAGCTTGCATCAGAAGTAATTACTCAACCTTGGGAGAAAATTTTCGTCGATCACATTGGCCCTCTGCCACTTTCTCTCAATAGGAACCAATATATTCTCACGGTAGTAGACTCTTTTTTCCAAGTTTGCCCTCATGATTCCTGTTCGAAATACCAAATCAGAAACCACAGCTTCAGTTCTTACCAAACAGGTTTTTCAATCTTTGGCCCACCAAAATTCTTAGTTTCCGACAACGTGTCCACATTCAAGTCCGTAACGATCAAGAACCTTTGCATGGGATTAGGCATCCAACATATCTACACCAGTCCGTACTACCCCAACCCTTCCCACGCCGAAAGGGTCAACAAGCAAATAAAAATAGCCATCCGAATTTTCCACCATGAACACCAAAAACGCTGGGATCAGGAATTACACTGGTTCCAGTTAGCCTTCAACTCTGCCCGTCACGACTCCACCAAAACTTCCCCAGCCCGTTTATTCCTTGGTAGAAACATCTCTCATCCTTTAGAGCTCCACTGGAATCTGGACAGGCTAATCGACGACCAGGCTTCCCCACAGTCTTCAAATGAAGAGTGGGGAAGAGCCGTCGAGAACCTCATCAGAGCTAGACAGCTTAGGCAGCAGAAATACGATCTGGACAGATTGCCCAACCCGTACAAGACCGGGGACTGGGTAATGTTCAGAGAGCATCACCTCAGTAGAGCTGCCGATGGCATCAACCAAAAATTGCTCCCTGTCTGGTCCAAACCTTGTGTCATTGAAACATTTTCTTCCCCAGTCACGGCACGTTTGGTAAATCCATCAACAGGAAAGTTCATTAGAAATGCACACGTGTCACATCTTAAACAATTTTTTCAGCCGCAATTTTAAACACAACAAGATCAACCTCCTTTGCCCAGATCAGAACACTCTGCTAAAGTGATATTAGATTAAGCCTTCTCAATCTGTCGCTGTCCCCGCCAACGCCCGGAGGACTGTGAGTCTCAGGGTATCCTTCCCTAGGATGGGCTGCCCTACCCTATCTTTCACCCCTCCCTTTTCGTCTCTGACACCCTCACCGAGTTCAGTAAAGATTTTTTTTTTTTTAATATGACTTTCCACGGGTGTTTACCTTTTATTTTTATTTTTGTTATTTTTACCCCGTTGGAAAGGGCTCAGTGATGGCACCTTCTGTGGTGGCTAGCATGCGGTCATTTGTCTAGAGGCTAGCTCTCTTTCTATTCTTTCCTATCCACCCTTATCTATTTTCACACTTCTTAGCTTAATTAGTCACTAAGGTAGAGATAGTTAGATTTAGGGAGAAATAGTTACTAGTAAGTTAAGGAATAAGTACCTTTTTTTTGCAAGAAACCAAATGAATAGAAAACTTCGCCTTTCAAGGAAAATACTTGACGAGGAAACAATCTCCGGAATTCCAAGAATACCTATCCCCACCTTTTTCTAGCGCTTACCGACGCGCAATTTTCTGCACGCGTAATGTTCTGCACACGCAATTTTCTGCGAAACGTTCTTTATATAAAAAATTAAAAAAAAGGTTTCAACAAGAACAGTTTACTATCCTTCCAAACCCCATCAACACACAGACCCCAAAACGGTATCCGCGAGTTCCACCAGTCTGGTTTCATCAGCCAACACACCTTGGGCGCAGCCTGCGATGCTCCGGCCTTGTCGGCATGAGTCATCAGCACACAACATCTCTACCTACACTCAGCCTGCTGCCTGAACACGTAGCCCATACCATCAGCACCTCTCAAGACCAGCATCACCAAAAGACACACCAGCTGATCTCAATTCCCCCCACAGTGCACCAACAATTCCTTAGGAAAAAAAAAAATCTTTTGTGAGTGCAGTTGTCCATCCCTTTTTTGATTTCACAGAAGAAGACAATTCAATTTCAATCCGTCCCCACAATGCCTTCTTCTTTTCGCAGGGGGGGTGGATCCCGCTCTCTGCCGTGTTTGGTTCAGGAAAGTCCGGCGGTCCGAGGTGCCATTTACAGCCAGGCTGGTCAGAACCTACAGGCTTCCACATCTGGAAGCAAATCGAACGACAAACTTCCCCACCAAAACAAAAAAGAAAAAAAACACCAAACCAAACCTTTCACCAACCTTCAACAAAACTGTTCTGTTCTTTTCTTTGCTTTCGTCGTAAGGGGGGTGGTTGTGACGCATAGTGGCACGCTATATTTTTTATAGTGTGTGCATTTCGCGAAGCCTTATTAAGTCAAATTCAAATGAAATATAAGTATTCTCTTTTGTACTGATTAACTTTATTTTATTAGTTACTGGGGTTTTGTACAGTTATAAATTGTGTACATTTATAACAAATTCAAACTTCAAAAACAAACTCTCAGCCGTCAGGACTGTGAGAGCCAAATTGACCACTGCGCGGAGTTGGACATGCGCCGCGAGGGATCCGAAGTGACCACTGCGCGGAAGCAATGTGGGCTGCATGTTCAAGTCGTTGCCTGCCGCGATTGCATCAACGTCTCTCCCCACTTCCCCACCTACGTCGACGCCTCTCCTCCTTCTTGCTAAACCAACCTCGACACGGAAAACAACCTAAAAAACTCCGACCGTCTCTCTCGTCATAAATGGATAAGTTTATTTCTAGTTAATATGTAGAAATAAGTTCAAATTATGTTTGGCTAAGTCAGGTAACAAGCGGGGAGCCCTTCTGGCTCGCCCGACCATTGAAATGTAGGAAATCACAACTTAGTAGGTTGGGTACCTTCTGCACCCAACGTTCTTAAACATGAAATATTAAACCACATGTTCCCAGAATGTAGCTTAGCAATTATCCATCAAATTCATGCATATTAACCATTCAGTATTCAATTTACATATTATTTCCCTCACTCATCAATATTAGTAAGTAATTATCCAAGTTCAGTTCATAGTTGGAAGGGTAGGTTAATACTTAAATAGTTAGTTCAATTAGTGCAAATCAAAGCTGGCTAGGCAAGTGTTCTGATCGGGTGAGGTTCATAAGGTCCAAATTTCACAAAGTCCAATGGTTAAAATATTAATAAACAGAGCGTTTCACAAGGTCCAAATTTCACAAGGTTTAACGGTTAAAATATTAATAAACAGAGCGTTTCACAAGGTCCAAATTTCACAAAGTCCAACGTTAAAATATCAAATGAACATAGCGTTTCACAAGGTCCAACGGTACAGTCTCGGCCAGAAGTCGCTGCAGAGGTTGCCTTGTTCGGTATGTAGGCACTACACTACCTAGTGTTGTTGCCACGCGTCACAAAACATCATTGTGGGTCCGTAGATACAGTACGTTGTATAGAGTGTAAAGTAGTGGTATTCACCCCCTCCGCAGCAAACCTGCAGACTAATCGATTTTCCATTTCCCTTATTTGATTTACACTAGAATATCTCCTTAAAAATGATCACATTTATTCCCTATTTAAATAGCATTAGTTTAACAAGTACCGTACTTAGGTTTGCTGCAACAGGGAGTAATCAGTAATCAGTAGTTGAGCGCCAGCGGACGGTGCCTGCTATCTGACCGTGGCTACCAATGTAGAGACTTCTGGCCCAGACTGTACCGTTGGACCTTGTGAAATTTGGACCTTGTGAAACGCTCTGTTTATTTGATTTTTTAACATTGGACTTTGTGAAATTTGGACATAGTGAAACGGTGATTATTTGAATGTTATAGTTTTGGACTTTATGAAATTTGGACCTTGTGAAACGCTCTGTTTATTTAATATTTTAACCGTTGGACTTTGTGAAATTTGGACTTTATGAAACGCTCCCTTCTGATCTGGGTAAAAGGTCTCCGTCCCTCTGGTCCCCAGCAATCTTCCTAATTTTATTGGTAGCAGATTCAGCACACTTAAATTAAGTTTGGTCCAGACACACCTATTCCTAACCTATTAGCATTGCCCTGTTTATCCCTGCTGATTACCCGAATTCCCTCCTCCATACCATACCATTAACCCCCATCATCACCTCCATCCAACGGCCCCCGGCTACATTGTATGGATATTAGTGTAAATGAAATTAAGAAAGAAGAGAAAACATCTACCAAAAATAAATTGGCTTTACAACTTAATCAAACGTGGCAAAATTGAAAATAAAGATGATTTACACGTAAAACAAATTATTTATATGTTTTTTAAGGTTAATTAGGGTTACAAATTAATAGTTTAATTTAACATAATTGTTTTATTTAGAATTATTCTAAATAAATGTGATTCAGTATAAAAATTAACCTCTTCACACTCGTATGCTCTAGACTCAAAAGCACAAAGTAGGCTAAAGGCTATGACATTTTTTGTCTCACAAACCCTTGGATTCAGCCTTTGAAACTACATTATACAGCAGAAAACCCCAATCTTATAGTATTCAGAGTGTTTATTTGAAGGTTTGTCTCTTTGAAGATCTCTATGCTTATTTTGTCTCAGTTTGAATCACAACTTTTAATTTAATTTGAATGTTATTTAAATTTTTCATGACTTTGTTAATGTACGCTTAATTTGTGAGGTATATTATTTTTAAGTTTTGTGTAAATCAATATTTATATTATATCCCTTTATTCTTCAGAATTTGACCAGCACAGGTTTTTATAATTTCTTTAAAAATAATAAAACTAAATTTTATCATACTTTAAAAAATCACACATTCTTATTTCTTTTATTTTGTATTTAAAAAAAATGTACAATACAGAATTAGTACTAGGTATTCATGGTGTACCTGGAGTCGAGCTGGTGGTTGGCCACATCCCCACTGCCTCCCTTGTGTAACGGCTTAGTGCAAGGGTTACCAGTCATACTGAGCACCTCACACATCTGTCTGCCGCTCTTCCAGTATCTCTCACACTCTCTCTCTAACTGTGTGATATAACTCTCCACCAGTGGACCTCTGGCATTCTCTCCAAACACCCCCAGTGCCAGGGACACCTGCAATGTGGCATCAAACTTAATCTTCCACTATCTCTCACACTCTCTCCCCATCTAACTGTGTGATATAACTCTCCACCAGTGGGCCTCTGGCATTCTCTCCAAACACCCCCAGTGCCAGGGACAACTGCAATGTGGCATCAAACTTAATCTTCCACTATCTCTCACACTCTCTCCCCATCTAACTGTGTGATATAACTCTCCACCAGTGGACCTCTGGCATTCTCTCCAAACACCCCCAGTGCCAGGGACACCTGCAATGTGGCATCAAACTTAATCTTCCACTATCTCTCACACTCTCTCCCCATCTAACTGTGTGATATAACTCTCCACCAGTGGACCTCTGGCATTCTCTCCAAACACCCCCAGTGCCAGGGACACCTGCAATGTGGCATCAAACTTAATCTTCCACTATCTCTCACACTCTCTCTTTAACTGTGTGATGTACCTCTCCAACAAGGCTCCTCTGGCATTCTCTACAACAAACCCTACAGCGTCAGGGACACCTGCAATGTGGCATCAAACTTAATCTTCCACTATCTCTCACACTCCTCTCTGTGACTTTCCTGAAAAATTGATTACAAAATTACAAAGAGCGCAAAAGGGATGCACTAGGTGTATTTTAGGTTAAAGTGGGATGATCATATCACTCAATATTACCATAGACTGGGGTAGTTAAAGATTAAGGAGAGGATTGAATATGGTATCTTACGACTGACATTTAAAGTATTTTAAAGTGGAGAACCCGAGTATACAATGGAAAAATATAATATATTAGCAGATGTACACCAAAGACAGACTCGTTTTGGTAATGTCCTACTTCAATTTCCTATACACCGTACTGTAATGTGACGCTTGCGTCACAGCGGCGACGCATCAGACGAAATCAGCTGATAACTGGAAAACTTGGGGGAGAGGGTAGGAATCGCAGAGACAAAGTAGTTAGTTGTCTCCTGGAGTTTGTAGTGTGTAGGCGACCTGGTCAACCCTGGACATGGTCTACGAACGATAATTTATCTTAAGTTTAGTTAATTAAATAAATATGTTCTAATTTTTTTCAGGAAGGGAGGGGGATCAACCCATAACCCTTAAGGTACGAGTGGAAGTTTTACTTATTCTTTGCTTATTATATTTAATTAGATGCATTAGAAATATTAGACCATCAAAATGGCTGTGATATGGATGTGGTTTGGCTCAGTATTTAATTTAAGTTTATTACTATTCAACTCAGAATGTCACACGCAGCAATAAACTGATTAAATTGAGCCTTAACGATCCTTATGAGTCCAGTACTGTTACTATAAAATATAGTACACTACACGCTTCAATAACATATAATAAATCATATAATGTTACTTCTTATGAATGAGTTAGACAATGACATAAGAACTAGTGATGCCAGAGGAGCCTTGTTGGAGAGTTACATCACACAGTTAAAGAGAGAGTGTGAGAGATAGTGGAAGATTAAGTTTGATGCCACATTGCAGGTGTCCCTGACGCTGTAGGGTTTGTTGTAGAGAATGCCAGAGGAGCCTTGTTGGAGAGGTACATCACACAGTTAGAGATAATTTGATAATTTGTTCATTGTGGTGTGAGTAGCCTCCGGATTGCGAATAATAACTAGTGATAGTGGTTTAAATACCTTATTCTTGCAATCCGATTGTTGTCTTCACAACTAGTTTCGACCTGCTAGGAGGTCATCATCAGGTGTGTACAAGGATGATATTAACTTCATATGAAGGTCGTCAGTAACAGTTTTTTACATTTACACAAACACACGACGAATAAACACATAGCGCGCACACATATACGGCCAATAAAATATAACATCGAACTCGACAAGCGGACCCGTGTTGAAAATGCGGAAGTTGTGTCTAGACTGTAGGGTACACAGCTGGTCAGGTATCACGCACATTTTCTTATCGCTCGTCGGTTCCATTCCCATTGTCTCTGCCCTACCCTCCCCTCTCCAGTATTTCTATTGCAGTGTTGTATATGACGTTTGAATTAAAATAAAGTTGGTTGTTTAAAACATTATCGATGTCTGATTTGACGGCTCTATATATCTCAAATTCTTCCAGGGTGTTAATTTTAATCTTGTCCTGTGACGTATGTAAAATTTCCATGTTTTCATTAATGCTGCTGTAATTATGCTGATGTGAAACTAAATTTTCGGCAAAGGTTGAAGTTTGTTTTGAGGTGGTTTTCTTTGGTATGTGCTCCTTAAACCGATTGGAGAAAGAACGGGACGTTTGGCCTGTGTAATACTTGTTACAATCTGAACAGTTGATTTTGTAAACACCACTTTTTCATATTTAAGTTTAGTTGTACCGGTACTTGGCCTTTCTTTAAGAAGTGGTCCCAGATTGTTTTTTGTTCTAAAGGATACTGTTATGTTATTTTTCCCCATTAATGATTTAAATTTATTACTATAAGACATGAATTATAGTCAGCTGATAAGAACTTTTTATTTTGGTTCACTCTTTCTGTTTTGTTTTGGTGTTTCAAAATTAATTTATCTATTAACATGGTCGTTTATCCATTGGAGACAGCAATGTGTTTTATAATGTTTATCTCTTCGTTGTAATCGTCAGTGCTCATTGGGATTTATAACAATCTATTTACAAAACAATGGTATGCGGCTAATTTCTGTGAAAATGGATGGTGTGAATCTGAATGTATTGTTTGATCGGAGCAGGTGGGTTTTTGGTAGATTTTAAACTTTAAGCTGTCATTATGTTTTAATATGGTAAGGTCCAGAAAATTTATAGAATTATTTTTCTCCTCTTCTAGTGTGAACTTAATATTATTGTGAATATGGCATAAATATGCATGTAGAAGGGATAGCTGTCTGTTGTTACCATTGAATAGGACAATGGTATCGTCTACATATCGATAGTAGAAAATTATTTTGTTCTTATATCGGTTGGAGTCAGTAAACAAGTGCTGGTTTTCGATGTGGTTAAAAAATGCTTCAGAAAGAATGCTGGAGAGGGGGGAGCCCATGGCTAGGCCGTCATTTTGTAAGTAGAATTTATCTTGAAACTGGAAGTAGTTCTGTTTTAATATCGTATTTAATAGTGAAACTAGTTCATTGATGGCGTTGGGTGACAATTTGGAATATTTTCGAAGGTTTAGTTCAAGTATTTGCACGGTTTCTTTGACGGGTACATTCGTATATAAATTAACAATATCAAAAGATGCCAACTGTAATTTCCGCCAATTTGTTGATTTTTGATTTTTTCGACGAGTTCAATACTGTTCTTAACACTATGATTATTTTCTAACACAATTTCTTTCCTAATAATTTTATCTAATTTCTTGGCTACTTTATATGATGGAGAAGGCATGAAATTTACTAATGGTCGGATTGGGACATCTGGTTTGTGAATTTTCGGGAGGCCCCTGAGGACCGGTGCTTGTGGGTTCGTTACTTTTAGAGAAAATATATCATTAACTGACAATAAGTTCTTGCTCTCAGATATTGATTTATTGATTAATTTGGCGTAAGAAGTTGTTGGATCTTTGTTAAGAAGATTGATGTTATTGTTACTTATAAAGTCACAAACTTTATTCACATAAATATCTTTATCCATTATGACAATTGAGTTGCCTTTATCGGCTTTTGTAATCAATGCGTTCCCCTCAGCGAGTTTGTTCCTGATGCTAGTTACAGCCTGTCGCATCATCTTGTACTTGTTGTTGAGTTTCCGGGCCACTTGATCGACTTTAATCGTTTGGGAACCAGGGCCGCCCCCCTGGCACAATTTGTTATTCAGAATTAGTTTTGCCAACAGTGTCATTTGGAGGCTTCTGATTGACTATAATGAAGGTTTACTAATTGAAAAATAAGTTATGTTCATAAAATAAAATGATAAATGCCTCAAATTCAATTTAAAAAATTTTAATTATGAAATTTAACTGTCATAACCTAACCAAACGTGCTGATAATGAAAAAATCCAATGAAGGTTTATTAATAAAAAAAATAGTCCTGTTAATAAAATAAAATTATGAATGCCTCAAATTCAATTTATAATTTTTTTATTATAAAATTAAACTGTCATAACCTAACCAAACTAACCAGACTTGCTGATAATGAAAAATCGAATGAAGGTTTAATGGAAAAAAAGTTCTGTTCATAAAATAAAAAAGGTAAATGGCTCAAATTCAACTGTATAATGTTTTAATTATAAATTTAAACTGTCATAACCTAACCAAACCAACCAAACTTGCTGATAATGAAAAAATCCATGACAAACAAAGTAGTGCCACGGGTGAGATTCGAACCCGGCTCCTTCAGCCCAGCGGCACTTCATCGACTTTAATCGTAGTGGGAACCAGGGTCGCTACCCTGACACCCCGGGTCACTTGATCGACCCTATTCGCCGTTATAGATCGAGGCTCAATCCCTCGACGCTATCTCTCCGACATCATTCGTTTTGGGAACCAGGGCCGTTACCCTGACACCCCGGGCCACTTGATCGACCTTATTTGCCGTCATTCGCCGTTAGTGATTGAGGTACAATACCTTGATGCTTTCCCACAGTTTTAAATCGTTTTGGGAACCAGGGCCGTTACTCTGACACCCCGGGTCACTTGATCGATCCTATTCGCTGTTATAGATCGAGGCTCAATCCCTCGACGCTATCTCTCCGACATTAATCGTTTTGGCAACCAGAGTCGCTATCCTGACACCCCGGGTCACTTGATGGACCTTATTTGCCGTTAGCGATCGAGGTACAATCCCTCGACGCTATCCCACAGTTTTAAATCGTTTTGGGAACCAGGGTCGCTACCTTGACACCCCGGGTCACTTGACCGACATCATTCGACCTTATTTGCCGTAAGCGATCGAGGCCCAATCCTTTGACGTTATTCCTCAGTTTTAATCGTATTGGGAACCAGGGTCGATCCCCTGTCACCCCGGGCCACTTAATCGACATTAATCGTTTGTGAACCAGGGCCGTTACCCTGACACCAAGGGTCACTTGATCGACCCTATTCGCCGTTAGCGATCAAGGAACAATCCCTCGACACTATCTCTCCGACATTAATCGTTTTGGGAACCAGGGTCGCTACCCTGACACCCCGGGTCACTTGATCGACCTTATTTGCCGTTAGCGATCGAGGTACAATCCCTCGACGCTATCCCACAGTTTTAAATTGTTTTGGGAACCAGGGTCGCTACCCTGACACCCCGGGTCACTTGATCGACCTTATTTGCCGTTAGCGATCGAGGTACAATCCCTCGACGCTATCCCACAGTTTTAAATTGTTTTGGGAACCAGGGTCGCTACCCTGACACCCCGGGTCACTTGATCGACCTTATTTGCCGTTAGCGATCGAGGTACAATCCCTTGATGCTTTCCCACAGTTTTAAATCGTTTTGGGAACCAGGGTCGCTACCCTGACACCCCGGGTCACTTGACCGACATCATTCGACCTTATTTGCCGTAAGCGATCGAGGCCCAATCCTTTGACGTTATTCTCAGTTTTAATCGTATTGGGAACCAGGGTCGATCCCCTGACACCCCGGGCCACTTAATCGACATTAATCGTTTGTGAACCAGGGTCGCTACTCTGACAGCCTGGGCCACTTGATCGACTTTAATCGTAGTGGGAACTAGGGCCGCTACCCTGACACCCAGCGGAACTTCATGGACTTTAATCATAGTGGGAACCAGGGCCGCGGATTCTACGTAAAATCATACGGATTCTAGGTAAAAAGATACATAAATTTCACCTAAAACATTTTTTGAAAAAAATTGTTTTGTAACTCTAATCTACTATTAAAGTCAATAATAATTATAGGTTATTCATCTGCCAAATGTACATGAAACAATAATAGAGAAAAACAAAAAAAATATGATGAATAAAATCAGCTGTTTATTGTAAACACTATAGTAATTGAGTACCGTAACAGCTGTTCTACGCATTGCTTAGTTTCATTTTATTGTAGAAAGAAATCATATTTTGTTTTTGTATATTAAAGTGGTCGCAAAGTGGTACACAAGCTAAATCTATTTCGAATTACTAAAATTTCTAGACATAATTTGCTTTTCTCAATTTAAAATTCGTCTTGCTTAAAATTGTATGCTTGTTAACTTTTATAGAATCAGGCCAAAATATAGTTTGAAATATTAAAGAAATGATATTTATCTGGAATTTTAAAATATTCCAACGGATGCTCTTAAATAAGATTCTTGTTTGTTACAAGTTTTTTTAATAAATTATTTAACCTATTAAGTACAAAATATCATAAAAATCTGAACATTAATCCATTGGTTGTAATAGCTTAACTTTATTTACAGGTTTTATGTAGGTACAATATCTACTAGGTTTGTTTACTTTATGCAGTGGTTGAACCTGCTGATCCTCAGTGTTCAACGTTGCCACCGCCTCGCCGAATGCACGTTTGCACTCTGTTTTCAAATGTGTCAACCACTCTAATGTAAACACAAATGATTTTTTTATAAAATAAAACGAAACTAAGCAATGAGTAGAACAGCTGTTCCTCAATTACTATACTGTTTACAATTAACAGCTGATTCTATTCAAGTAAGTTTGGCAGATGAATGACCTATAACTTAATTGACTTTAATAGGGGATAAGAGGTAGAAAACAAGTAAAAAAAATTAGACAAAAAAGTTATGTATTTTTTTAACGTAGAATTCGATTCTGTGATCAAAATTGGTAGTTTACATTTTTTAAAGTCAACTTCCGGTCTAAGAAAGCCACTTCAGGTGTGATTTTGTATTTTAAATTATCACCAATTGGTAGACCGTGCCCAATTTATTTAGTTCTGTATTATTTGTTGTTTGTAATAAAAGGTTTCCCTCGTTTTTAAAGGGGTGTACGGGTGGTTTTGGACACCCTGTATTGTTCTCAACAGTGGGTGATAGCAATCGGTTAATTTTACACATGCTGCATATAAAGTGGCTACTTGCTAGTTTAGTATGAGTCTTAATAAATCCTTTAACCTTGTTGTAACATAAGGTTTCCAAAACTGATACTGAATACTTAAATCAACTGATATACTTTCCATACTCTTACAGGAACTTATACAGGAGGAACACTAGCACTCTTATTAAGAAGCCAATAAAAGTCAGGTGTAGTATATGTTTAGGAAAATTCTTATTTAAGCAGCTATTTAGACCAAAAATGGAAGAAAATAACTACAGCAAATAACATACACAAGAGTGAACGAAACGGCACACGGAAGATTTCTCAGGTGCCGTTTAACGTCACTAACGCTGACGTCACTTTGAGAGAACACCAATACCGCAACGATACGATTTTGAACCATCGGCCATCGGTGGTGTAGTGGATAGCGTGGCGGGTTGATATTCCGGGTGTACCGTGTTCCAATCCCGCCAGTAGCACTAACTTTTTGTCAACAATTTTTTCCATATCAGCAAGTTTGGTTGGTTTGGTTAGGTTATGACAGTTTAATTTTATAATTAAAAAATTAAAAAATTGAATTTTTGGCATTTATAATTTTATTTTATGAACAAAGCTATTTTTTAGATTAGTAAACTTTAATTAGATTTTTCCATTATCAGCACGTTTGGTTAGGTTATGATAGTTTAATTAAATATTAGAAAAATTATAAAATTTTCTGTTTCTTCAGACGCAGCAGTTAGTGTCGTCAAACGGCACCTGAGAAATCTTCCGTGTGCCCCACCGCAAGAGTGAACAAGATTTAATAGGAAAAAATTAACTAAAAAAATAAAGAAGTATTTTTTAAGAAAAATTGTCAAGGATTAAAAAATGAAAATTCTGATTTATGCTGAATAAAAGCTTGATAAAGATTAACTGAATGAAAATCTACAAACATTATTAAAACAAGGTAATTGTGTGTTTTGATGGAGAAGCGAATTTAAGCGCAATCTATATATTAATTTGAAACTGTTTTTCTTTGTCACAGCTATTTTGAGAGAACGGCTGGGCGTAGAAACTCGGTAGAGGTGTCTAAAGAAAGGTCTTGGTCTGTAGATGAGCCATCAAAAGAGAAACATGGTGAATTCCCTTGGGGCTCTGCCCCCATGGCCTTTAAATTCCCAACCCATGTTATTCTTATGGAGGAAAACGGGGTTTTTGTCACAGCTAATTTGAGAGAACGGCTGGGCGTAGAAACTTCGTAGGGGTCTCTAAAGAAAGGTCTTGGTCTGTAGATGAGCCATCAAAAGAGGAAAGAGGTAAATTCCCTTGGGGCTCTGCCCCAGAAGCCTTTAAAGTTGCCTCTTCAGATTTGTTTACATTACGACCATATGCATAATTCTACACTACTTTTGAATGCAACAGCTGTTAATATTTAAATTGTGATTTATTGAATTTGTCAAAATGGAGTACAGTATTTGCAACGGATTTTTCTGATTTTAAAATTGATTTTTTTCTGCATCTGTCATGTTTTGCAATATAATGTTCTATTACCAAATCAGTGGAAAATCCTAATATCACAGTAACTTTTACAATTATTTCTTATGGAGTTAACTTATATCTATTGTATGGGTTGGTTTCTGCCTTTTTTTACCACTTCTTGGAGATTGTACGTAGGTGATAATCTTTGGCATATTGCATCTGTAGACGAAACTTGGGTTGGTGTAATTATTACAATGGAAAAAAGCGAGAAATCCTGGATAATTTGATAAAGGCTAAAAATAAAACTGAATTAACACTGTGCTACATTTCTTGAGCAATCATTTAAATAACCGATTTGCAAACAATGGAAACATAGAAAAAGTCATAGAACACAACCAAGTAAAAGAAATAGAAATAATGTTTTTTTTTACACTAAAACACTAAAAAAACAAGATCAGCTTTTTGAAAAAAGATAAGATATTTACAAAAGATTTTGTGTTGTGTAGATCATGAGTTTTTCCATAATCTTTGAGTCACCTTTATAATGCTTCTCAATTGCTCGAATTCGAGCAACAGGTACACTAGTTTAACTTAATTAAGACTCTCTTAATTAAGAACTTTGAATGTATGGATAGGAATATTATATACAGTATACACAAGCATACATTTCTATGCTATTAATACAGGAAAAGACTCACAAAAACAAGTTATATGGGCATTTAGTTAATAAGTATCATTGGTACAAAATATTTATCTCACCTTGTTGAGATGATACTCTTTAGTATAGTTGGCAGGCAAGTTTTCTTGGTATGTAGAAATGGCTAGAGGCAGAACTTTGCTACATCTGGCCTCACTAAATTTAATGTCTGTGTCTAGTAGATCATGCAGAGTAGATAATACAGGAGCAGACACGGGACTATCTTTGACGATCACTGTGTAGAGAGCATTTGCAGCTTCCAAGAGCACTCCTAGAGGTGGGGTCTGTAACACAAATTGCAGAGTAGACAGTACAGGAGCATAGACGGGACTAACTTTGACGATCACTGTGTAGAGAGCGTTTGCAGCCTCCAGGAGCGCTCCTGGAGGTGGGCTCTGTAACAAAAATTGCAGAGTAGAGAGTATAGGAGCAGAGACGGGACCACGCTTGAGCTCACTCTGTAGAGAGCATTTACAGTTTCCAGGAGCGCTCCTGGAGGTGGGGTCTGTAACAAAAATTGCAGAATAGAGAGTACAGGAGCAGAGACGGGACCATGCTTGACTTTACTCTGTAGAGAGCATTTACAGTTTCCAGGAACGCTCCTGGAGGTGGGGTCTGTAAAACAAATTGCAGAGTAGACAGTACAGGAGCATAGATGGGACTATCTTTGACGATCACTGTGTAGAGAGCATTTACAGTTTCCACGAGCGCTCCTGGAGGTGGGCTCTGTAACAAAAAATGCAGAGTAGAGAGTACAGGAGCAGAGACTGGACCATGGTTGACTTCACTCTGTAGAGAGCATTTACAGTTTCCAGGAGCGCTCCTGGAGGTGGGCTCTGTAAAAAAAATGCAGAGTAGAGAGTACAGGAGCAGAGACTGGACCATCGTTGACTTCACTCTGTAGAGAGCATTTACAGTTTCCAGGAACGCTCCTGGAGGTGGGCTCTGTAACAAAAATTGCAGAGTAGAGAGTACAGGAGCAGAGACTGGACCATCGTTGACTTCACTCTGTAGAGAGCATTTACAGTTTCCACGAGCGCTCCTGGAGGTGGGCTCTGTAACAAAAATTGCAGAGTAGAGAGTACAGGAGCAGAGACTGGACCATCGTTGACTTCACTCTGTAGAGAGCATTTACAGTTTCCACGAGCGCTCCTGGAGGTGGGCTCTGTAACAAAAAATGCAGAGTAGAGAGTACAGGAACAGAGACTGGACCATGCTTGATTTCACTCTGTAGAGAGCATTTACAGTTTCCAGGAACGCTCCTGGAGGTGGGCTCTGTAACAAAAATTGCAGAATAGAGAGTACAGGAGCAGAGACGGGACCATGCTTGATTTCACTCTGTAGAGAGCATTTACAGTTTCCAGGAGCATTCCTGGAGGTGGGATTTGTAACACAAATAGCAATGTAGAAGGTACAGAAGCAGAGACGGGACCATCCCTGACTATCACTCTGTAGAGAGCATTTAGAGTCTCATTCAGTGCTCCTCCAGGTGCATTCCTAGGGTCTATAACACAAATTGCAATGTAGAAGGTAGGCCTACAGGAGCAGAGACGGGACCATCCTTGACTATCACTCTGCAGAGAGCATTTAGAGTCTCATTCAGTGCTCCTCCAGGAGCACTCCTGGGGCCTATAACACAAATTGCAATGTAGAAGGTACAGGAGCAGAGACTGGACCATCTTTGACTATCATTCTGTAGAGAGCATTTAGAGTCTCATTTAGTGCTCCTCCAGGTGCATTAATAGAGGTGGGGTCTGTAACACAAATTGCAATGTAGAAGGTATAGGAGCATAGACGGGACCATCTTTGACTATCATTCTGTAGAGAGCATTTAGAGTCTCATTTAGTGCTCCTCCAGGAGCACTCCTAGGGTCTATAACAAAAATTGCAATCTAGAAGGTACAGGAGCAGAGACTGGACCATCCTTGACTATCACTCTGTAGAGAGCATTTAGAGTCTCATTCAGTGCTCCTCCAGGAGCACTCCTGGGGTCTATAACACAAATTGCAATGTAGAAGGTATAGGAGCAGAGACGGGACCATCCTTGACTATCACTATGTCTCATTCAGTGCTCCTCCAGGTGCATTCCTAGAGGTGGGGTCTATAACACAAATCGCTATGTAGAAGGTATAGGAGCATAGACGGGACCATCTTTGACTATCATTCTGTAGAGAGCATTTAGAGTCTCATTTAGTGCTCCTCCAGGAGCACTCCTAGGGTCTATAACAAAAATTGCAATCTAGAAGGTACAGGAGCAGAGACTGGACCATCCTTGACTATCACTCTGTAGAGAGCATTTAGAGTCTCATTCAGTGCTCCTCCAGGAGCACTCCTGGGGTCTATAACACAAATTGCAATGTAGAAGGTATAGGAGCAGAGACGGGACCATCCTTGACTATCACTATGTCTCATTCAGTGCTCCTCCAGGTGCATTCCTAGAGGTGGGGTCTATAACACAAATTGCTATGTAGAAGGTACAGGAGCAGAGACGGGACCATAATTGACTATCAAGTTTACTTTACCACCGAGACAACACTATGTGCTTCATATATTTTTTCACTTCCAAAGTAAGTTGCATAGCAGAACTGGTAAGTATTATTCATCTCACCAAGTGAATGTGTATCTGAATGGGTATCTGTTAGACCAGACCTCTCTTTTTCTAGTCTCCTCATACGCATAAGATATCTTATTATTAATTGTATCCTCCTCCCATTTTCAATATTTCATCTTTGAACTTGAGGCATTTTCTGTTCTTCCCACAAAACTGATTAACTGTTTAACTTGGTCTTAACCTACTGAATATTACAAACATTAATATTTACTCCCAATAAGCTAATGAGTTTCTTTATATAAACAGCTGTTTCTTTGTTTTTAAATTTGTTCTATGTATTTCTTATGGGGAAACCCCGACTTTTGAGAAGGTATCACACCCTTAAGAGTAGGTATTTTAAAATTCTAAAACCTTATTGCTAAACTACATATTGAGACGAATCTTTTGACACCTTAAACGTTAAAATTGGTCTACAATAAGGGTGTAACGGTAAAATTTTCGAGATCAGAAAACGAGCGTTCAGACGATTTCAAATGTCCCGCGCAAGGACATTAGTTCTCCGAGCGGCCACGTACTGCACTAGCGTCGAGACCCCTATAAATGCCGCGCAGGACACGGGACAGTCGGACTCGAGCGCTGGGCGAATAGCTAGCAACATCTCCCTGGTAGGGCGAGGGCGGAATAGCCCGGTAATTGAACCAGTGGTGGAATAACCCTGGTAGCGTCGAATACTAGGGCTAGGCCGAGGGCGGAATAGCTCTCGAACCCGCGTATATTACGAGACGATAGGTCGAGGGTGGAATAGCCCGGTAAATAAACCAGTGGTGAAACAACTCTGGTAACATCGAACACTAGGTGATAGGCCAAGGGCGGAATAGCCCTTGGATCCGCGCACATACATCGCGAAACCGTAGGTCGAGGGCGGAATAGCCCGGTAATTAGCCAGTGGTGAAATAGCTCTGGCATCGTCGAATATTATGTGTTAGGCCAGGGCGAAATAGCTCGTGGACCCGCGACAATCGATTCGGTTTATTGTAAGAATCGTGGGTTTTAATTCCAAAAGTGAAACATGGTATATCCATTAAGTAGAGATTTGTTTTATTTTCGAAGTTAACGAATTTAGTTAGTTACGACCAGTGTTTCACTCACGGAATTAACGCCAGTTATTCTAAATTAACTAATTTGTTTAAATTAAGGCCTAACCCGGGCAGTGATGAATGTGTCATTTACTGAAAGCTGATGCTTTAACGACCATATCTAAGCCCATATTTTTAAACTAATTACTATTATTATTACTACTAACCCTGGACATACTCAATTAGATTAGCTATCCGAAGCCGACAGTACAATTTTGTCCCAGGACAAAATTGCACCGTCACAAGGGAGGAGTTGCGTTAACAAAAAACAGCTCAATTGACAATATAGTTTGTTTGTTTACATTTTTGTTTACTTATTTTATTATTTACTTTTATGTTATTAAAAGAGGTGCAGTGAATGGACAGTGAAGCTATTTCTAGCTGTTTGATACAAGTGAGTGATTAAAGGTGTTCGAAACACGATGAATATGAGATTAACAAACCATGTATGTTGTTTGTTCCAAGAGGTTGTCACCGATCTTTAACAGGTCGCCATTTCATTGACAAGTATTTAAGTAAAGTATTAAAGACGTCGTGAATGAGAGCAGCGAGTTCAGGTACAACCATACCCACCTTAGGACGTAAGGAGGTATGAAGGTTCCACTGCTTTTAACATTCTTTCAGATGACAATTTCTCGAACTTGGGCCCTTTAAATGAAATATTGATAAATGAAAAAGTCAAAGTTGATTAAATTAATTTAATGGTGGCTTCTGTACACCCGTGAATTCGTGGGTAGAACCTATTGTTTACTTTTAAATTCCTCACTTCAGAATTTTGAAAGCCAAAGGAGCAAAGCCCAAGGTCAGTATCAAAGTGTGAATAGTCCTATATGACCATCCTTGGTATGGTAGCTATATTTTTTTTAAGTTTAAGCTCAGTCAGTTCAATAGTTTTACATTAATTAGTAATAGACATACAGACAGACACCATTATATTTTTTATATAATAGTATAGATAGTAAGCCTATAGATAATTATAGAAGTATAGATTAGATTTTTTATGGGTTTGAAATATACATTGTATTTTGAAAGTTTCTCCAAAAACTCATGGTGCATGTTTCTTAGGTCAAAACAAACAAAAAATGTCATATAAACATATGCCCTATCTCGCTTAGTTTTCCATCTGTCAGTGTATATGTATTTTTTACATAACTTCCCATAACTTTGGAACCACTTTAGGTGCCAACTTCAAACTTAGTACGTGTATGATGACTAATAGGAAATATTTTTTTGCAAAACATCGAGTTTCTACTTTGTATAGTTTCAAAATGGCGGCCATTTTTATTTTTCAAAGCTTAAAAACTTAAAAACCATAGGATTTATACAAAAGCGAGTGCTTTAAGAACATCTTCAAGCCACTTTTTGATTATATTGACTGCTGGACAGTATTCCACGTTCAGTAACAGTGTTTTGAACTTCGTCGTATATCATGCGATATTTTCCTTATTTCTGATTGGACGGTTAAAATCCTGCAGAGGGGGAAAGGCCACTATGAGTTTTCAACTGGCTGTTGAGGATTTTATATAGTACTGATTTACTTGTGCTATATAATCAAATATCTTTTTTATGTATCTTTTTATATCAGCTGCTTGAGATT